CTTGCCAAGGTCTTTTCCTGGGCTGGCCTAGAAGTAGGATGCAAGCATCCCATAAGTAAGAAAAGGTGTTACCTGAATGGAATGCTGCACCCTCTCTGCTCTGAAGTTAACACCATCAGTTCCAATCAGCAAGTACAGCATGTGTGGACTTCAGTCTGGAAAATTGGAATATTCAGGGAGCAGATACTAAAAATCAAACATGTTATTAACTCTTGAGACGGAAGCTACTTGATTTGAATTGAGTGCATGTTAAAGCTAATGTCTGAATCAACTCTTAAAGGTTTTATTGTTGTAACCATGCTAAGATACGGATATGCCTGTCTTTCCAGTATTTGATCTCTGCCCAGAACAGGAAAATGCACATCTTCCTGTTCAGCTGTTAGCTGATACATAGACCAGAAGTTTAATTTCTGTTGTCTAGAGGAGTCTGAGAACTGCAATTGAAACTAATGCCGAGAAGGTGCAGAAACAGTGGTGAGATGAGAGGAGATGAGATGAAGAGTGGTTGACCCAGTATAGTGAGCCCACATATGTATCAGCTTCTATGTTGGTAAGAAAATGCAGTTACAGTTACTGATTGAATTTAGGTGACTAGAAATACTCATTGTGAACGGAATGAATGTTCCTCATGCCTCATCCTCATTCCCAAGGGCCACATGCCTACAGCAGCACTCTACATTATTATATTGGCTTGGGAGAGAAATCCCAAATATATCATCTGATGCTCTCTTGACTCCGTAGGCCATAGACAGCGTGTGGGTGGGCTACATTTGAGCAAGTCCCTGTGAGTGCAAGAGCCCTCGAGCTCCATCCGCTTGTTTCCACTCCCGGCAGTCCCACAGCAATGTCCGTCTCTTCCCGTGTGACTTCCTTGGTCGTGAGCCAGAGCAGCAGGTCCCCCTGTAACAACAGGTGAAAGAGGGAAAGTTCTTGCATCCTGTTTTGAGAAGACAAGCCCTTAGTGCTAGCCATACCAATGCTGTCTAATTTGCTTTATCCAGTCGTTTCTCCATTTTCCTCAACACAGATACTCATAGCCAGAAGAAGGTGGCCTTACCACCAGAGCCACCAGTGTGGCTTTTGGAACTTGTGGTCCTGATGAAAGACTCAGTCCTTCTGCAGTCCTCTGAAAGGAACTGAAAGGCTTTTCCGTGGCTTGTGGAAGTACTGCACTTCTCTACTGGCTTTGTGGAGACTGGAACTGCTTCCCCTTGTTTCAGAAGAAAAATGCTCTACCTCTGTCTAGAGTCTAAGAGAACGATAACACATCCAAGATGGTCCTCCTGTCCAGGGGTTCCGTAGCACAATGCATCTTACCTGGGATTTTAGTGGTGGCTACTCATTTCAGGTGGTTTGGAGTATCCCTATGTAGGCAATTCACTGAATAACTGTCAGATATCCTTTAGACCATGATTTCTGAATCAAAGAGCCTTTTGTTGAGCTTTTATGAGGCTTGAACCCACTCAGAGCTTCAATTTTTTTTCTAGAAGATCTTGTCTCTCTTTCTGCAAGCACTTACCTCCTCAGGAGCATTTTCAAATGATGAAAAATGCTTCTACTGTGGTTGAAGAAATCCTGTTACTCCAATTAGAATATGCCTAGCAGTTCTGAAACGAAAACCGGTCACACCTTTGTGAGCGCCGATGCTAAATGGCACCTTTGCTGCATAAGGGTTTGGCACTGCCAGCAGTCTCCACACCAGTCAACTCCTTGCAGCAGTAGCAAAATCGGCTTAGTGTCCACAGAGGTAGCATTGCATCCTCCTCCTCGGTACAGCTCAGTCCCTGCCTCGCTGAGGGCTCTGAGTAATTAGGAAACATGAATCTGGGGGCTATATGCACAGCAACGTGTTACAGCTTAGGGCCAGCACGCTCAAGCAGTGACAGTCACCAGTATCAGGATAACAAGAATCCCGACTTGCCATACATCTGCTGTGTTTAATGAAAGCACTCTTTTTTTTTTTTTTCCCCACTAATCAACAGCTTATTGTATAACTGCACCAAAGTCTGCGTCCAGCTGGTATTTGGACCCTCTCAAGTCAATAGAAATATTTTTATTCAATGGTTTGAATAGGAACAGAATCAGATCCTTGAAACTGAAAGCATCAAGGTTGTTCATCACTGAAGAAGTCACAATACTCAATATACTCAATAAATAATAATTGGCTTCTCCTAAATGGTAATGTAAGAAGCAGAGTAGTTGCTGAGAGAACATTATGTGTTAACTGTTACACTCTTCCTTTTTATGGAACTTATCATTGGATCTCGGTGCATTAGGGTGGTTGTTTATCCTAAATCCCTCTCTTTCATATTCCACATAACTTCAATTTGCCAATTATAAAAGGATAATAGAATTTCCCCATCACACAGTACTGCATAACTCAGTACTTTTACAATCTTGAGATGCTCAGATATGGTGGTACTCAGGAAATAATAATTGTTTACAGTCACAAAGGTAATAGAAGTGAGGCTCATTATGTGAAATCCACATTGTTGTTGTTCTCATGCATGTTACAGAGTTTACCTGTTAGTCATCACAGATAGTCATTTATGCAGGTGGCCCAAGTCTAAATTTCCGTATGTTTCTGCACTTCCCAATTGGTGAGTGAGAATGGACAATGAGGCTCTTACTCAAATATGTGAGAATGTGAGCATTGTGTCAATGCTTAAATGAAACAGCTGATGAAGAAAACAGGACATACTTAAGGACATATTTGTACAAAGTAACCCTGAGTGATATGACTGGATTTACTGGAAAATAGTAATTTATAGGTAAGTTAAAGTGCTAAGTTTCATCACATGGCATATTGTTCTTGATGTCAAAGACATTCTTTTGTCTATACAGCATTTTTAGAATAATTATTGCTGACAGACACGAATCCATTAGAAA